TCCAGCAATGGTCCTCCGACTATTGCGATTTTTCAAAATTAGTCCTCGTCTTTTAATTTGGAAAAAATAGACCCTTGACTATTAGATTTGTTCCAGCATTGGTCCTTCCGTTAAGTATCCGTTTGTTAGGTGTTAAGTAGAGGGGTACAAAGGTCATTTCCTTTTATTCCTTTCTTCTTCATATGCTAGTGACTACATGAATCCTTCCGTACATGCAGATGACCATCATTACACCCAAAACTCTGGGCGCAGTCGTTTGAGGAAGTTGCAGACAGAATATTCAGCATTATGAATGGGAAATCTACGCGGGACATAACATCCAAAGGTTTGATTGTATTCCCATTAAGGAAGCATTTGCTAAGATCGGCCGCCCTGCATCGGCCCCGTTGCAACCATTGATTCTTTGGGAGTTTTGACAGAGAAGTTTGGAAGAAGAGCTGGAAAGATGAAGGTACATTAATGGATGGCCGCAATAATAATCTGTTTCTTCTTCTTCTTCATTTCATTCATTTCAATGGTAATGATACAAATATTCATCTTTTCTCTTCAGATGGCAACTTTAGCAGAATACATTGGACTTGAGCAGCAGAAACACAGGTAAAATACATATATATATATATATATATATATATATATATATATATATATATATATATATATATATATATATATATATAGTTCTTGAGAAGAATTTTTTTTTTTTTAAAAAACTGAAATATTTTGTTATGATGCTGCAAAATTTGGGATTCTAATTCAACCTATTAGGATTTCAAATTCCAACTGTTGTTGTGTCAACATGCATGCATGCATAAGCTTCATTCATAATTAGTCATTATTAGATTAGTGATGATTCTTTCAATTTCTTGTAACTGTAATTGCATGTCTCAGCAGTTACCATTCATTGTATGTTAATTGAATGAAAAAGGGTTAACAAATCAATACAATCCCCTTTCAAAAATCTACTATGATCTGTTGATCGAGTGGAATCTTGATCCAGTAGCTGTTCTTATTCTCCATTCTCCGGCGAGATCTTGTCTTCAATCCACTAAGCTATCTTTTCCACAGCTCCCTAGCAAACCCAGATCTCTGCCTGTTCTCCATGCACGGCGGCGGCGACCGCCGCACTGCAAACTCATCACTGTCGAAAGAGGTGATCAGCCCTAATCCATGATCATAAGTTTCATGTGAAACCGGATCGAATAGAGTCTCGTATACCTCTCTTAGTTGGATGAATCGCCGCATAGATTCCTCCTTGTCGGAGTGGTGGCAGAAGTCCGGGTGACAGAGGAGCCATGCATCTGTAAGCTCTCTTTATCTCCTCAACCACAGCATTCTCGGGGCGCAACGAAAGAACCTCGTAAAAGTTGTCTTTCATGGCATTAATCTTAGTATGACGACGAAGAAAGCAATGGAGTTTTGGGGTAATGATGGTCATGTGCGTGTACGGAAGGATACATATGCTCACCAGAATAGGAAGAAGAAAGCAATAAAATGAAATGACTTTTGTACCCCTCTACTTAACACCTAACAAACGGATACTTAACGGAAGGACCAATGCTGGAACAAATTTGATAGTCAAGAGTCTATTTTGTCCAAATTAAAAGTCGAGGACTAATTTTGGAAAATCACAATAGTCGGAGGACCATTGCTGGAATTAACTCATGAGAATATAAGTTATGAGTTATGAGTTGAAATTTACTGGGTTATTGTTATTAGGCTGGATTTACAATACAAGTCAAAAGAGGTGGGAAGTCAGAGAAAGAGAGGTGAACCGGCCCGAAAGGGTACTGCCAGCCACGGGTAGCCGGCTGAGGTGCTGGCCCTGCCGACGGGTGCATGACTTGTCCGCGCCCCGTCTCCGGGGTGGAACTTCAATTCTTTTTCTCATAATATATTTGATTTACGTACAGTAATAAATTAGAATAACGTAACATTTATTTTGTTAATTAATAGGTAGCGGAGGGAGTCACACGATATGATATGATATGATGTTGATGGTGCGTGCGTGAAATAGCATATATGGCTCCGAACCACATATATATGCATGCTTGTGAAGAATCATAATTCAATTTGCCAGTTGGAATTGTGCACTTATTTTGTAATCATCATAACTTCAGCTTTTCCCATTCAAATTTGCTTCCCTCCCACTTTATCAATTTACACTACAATATAAGAGTTAATTCCAGCAATGGTCCGCCAAGTATGATAATTTTCCAAATTTGGTTCCCGTATTTTAATTTGGACAATTTAACCACCCGTCTATTAAATTCTTTTCAATTGAGGTCCTTCCGTCAATTGGGGGTTAAGTCAGCGTCAATTAGGGGTTAACCCCCAATTGACGGAATGACCTCAATTGGAAAGAATTTAATAGACGGATGGTTAAATTGTCCAAATTAAAAGACGGGGACCAAATCTGGAAAATCATCATACTCGGGGGACCATTGCTGGAATTAACTCACAATATAATGAGACATCCCCACGTCCTCCTCCTAAAAGATGTCATCTTTACACCAGTAAATTTTGACTCTAAACCAAAAAAATAAAATCTGACTTATTAACATGACGCACATGTATAAAAATTAGTCGATCAATTTTATACGTGTATTAACAATTTGCTTTTCAACTATTTTAGTTTGATAGGTTCTTGATGTTCTTTGATTAAGTTTTTATCCTATTGTTTTTCTGTATATTTTGTTGAACTTTTTGTGATATATCTTGAAAATATTGATTTGGATTTTATTACATTTAAAAATAAAATGCAGAGACTCCATAGTTTGAAGTGAATTGAAAATTTGTGAAGGAGAAAAGTTTCATTCTACCTTTTAAACTGCTAGTTCCAACTCCACTATTACATCAAGTACATATATACAATAATAATAGAGATTTCAAATTTTTTGGAGTACCAAAGAATTAAGAGGGAATGGTACGGTTTATTCTAGCTTCCTTCAACTTTTCAAGTGAGCATTTATTAAGTTTATTGTTGAAAAAAAAAAAAAAAGAACTCAAGGAGTGAAAGTCACTCGACTGTAAGGAGAGGAGCGAAAAGCCACTGGATCGAAAGGAGAAGGAGGCGCCAACAATCGAAAACCGGGGGCGATGGTTCACATCTCTCTTGGGCCTCAGGCTGGCAAACTGTTAATTTTAAAAATTAATCTTAAAATTTCTTATAAAAAATTTTAAACATATATTGCTAGACTACAAAGTTTTGACAACTCTTTTTTTTCTTTTTATATATAAATCAACTAGGGCTTTGTTTATTTCAGTTTTCTAGTTTTTCATTATCTACTTTTTATGTTTTACTTAAAATATATTTACTAGCACTCATTTTTCAAATTTAATCAAAAAAAAAAAAGAAGTTATTAACGTGCTCAGCGGGCACATCTGATGCACTCGACACGCAACAAGAAGTTTTAATTTTTAGTTCGTAGGGCCCAAAAAAAAAAAAAAAAACTATATCTATTGCAAATTCATTTTTTTCACTCTTCTCTTCCTTCCACCTCACACTCTCCCCAATCCACATACTTTTAAAAATCACTAAAAACTATTTATGAAAATACTCTTATCTCTACAATTCTCTCTTTCTTTCCAAAAGTAAACTCTACTATCAATCTATCATATCAACATTTTTGGAATTCACTACTATTTTTATTTTTATTTTTGTATCATTACAATTTCAATTCATTGTCAACATAATAATAATAATAATAATAATAATAATAATAATAATAATAATATCGATTATTAAAAGAGAGAGATGATGATGAAGAAGAAATCTAGCGTGGCAAGGTTGCCATTCTCATCCTTCCAGAAATGACCGAATTATGATGGTCTAACTGTGTAAGGGTAGATATATGAGGCAAATTATTCTTTGGTCTACACAGGGTTATGTGAATTATAACAAAATATATATTTTAATATATTAAAAGTATATTATTCGTGAACTGAATGCATATTATACAAAATAATGTATTTTTTATAAATATAATATGTATTTTTAATATACGGACTATTAATAATACATTATTTGTATATTTAATGTACATTATTTGATAGTATGGTCCATACAATAAGAGTTCTATTACATAGACTCCCAAATCTTATTTTCTAAATTTTACTCCTTGATGTGGCAGATATTGATATGCTACTTTATTTTTTATATGGGTCCTAATATAAATGTCTACATTAAGATTTTGTATATAGGAGTAAAAGTTGAGAGTAAAAAATTATAGTACATGTAGTATTTTCCATACAAAAATTATTGCACATATGAAATGAGCATACACAAATAATGATAATGATGATTATAAAGTTATGTCTTTTGATTTTTTTTTTTTTTGGTTATGTTTATTAGAGTTAATACCCGATTTGATCCTTTGACCGTTAGAATTTTATCACTTTGATTATCGACATCCAAATTTGCTCAATTTAATCTCTAATTATGTAAATTTTACATAAAATAGTTCTTTGTCCAAACCAAAATAGTCCTGTTTAGGACGGTTTTAGTTAACAATTGCATAGTTGATGATGAAATTGAACAGGTTTGAAAATGGAGGACCAAAATAGTGAAATCCTAATAGTCGAGGAACCAAATCATATATTAACTCCGCTTATTAAAAAAAAAATCTATATAAGTAAACGTTTTTTTTTTTTTTTTTTTTTGGGGTATTCTGCTTTTACATTTTAAAACATTTTTCTAATTAATAATTTTTTTTTTGGTAGAGTTTTTTCTAATTAATAATAAGACAAAAAGTTTCTTTCTACTCTCCTTTTGTATTTGCCAACAAAAGCATACTAAAGAAGTATGGGAAACAATAGTATGGAACAAACATAGTATATACAATAGTTTGAATACGAATTTTGGCGATGTACACAAGTCACAACACAAATTTGAAGTAACTCAAACATATTCTTGTCCCAATAGTGACCGTTAATGGCTTCACCTAAAACAAGATATCCCCACACCATATGCTTCCATTTTCCACACTTAAAGCGCATTTCCCAATGCCAAACTTTCAAATTCAAATTTCTGTTGATACCATCAATGGCAGCAGCATCAGCAGCAATAGCACAAGATAAAGCAGTACCCGTATCTAACCACCACCTTAAAAGCCGCCTCTCCACCCAAAATCCTGTCTTTCCCAACATCCCAGAAACCAATCTTGAATTCTTGATGACCCAAACATGGCTGCCTTCAAGAAAGCTTCGAATCCCCTTCGCCCTTCGAATTGTTACAATTCGCTCTATGATAACCCTCTAGTTAACGCGCCTGATAACAAAGAGAATGACTCGCCTTATAAGCCCCAAAAATGGAGTCTTTCTGGGAAAGAAAATGCGGTTCCCGGAAGTGGAGCTAAGTCTCATCTCAAGCCATCTTCACTTCAACTCTGCATGAAAAAGCATGAGCCTGATTCCACTTTCGGGTCCAAACTTGTTTCTCCCATTGACGCAGAGGGGCCTAATTCTGGCAATCTTTGGGACCATTCGGATTCGGAGGCCGCCCCGGCTTCTTCTTGGTCTACTCTACCTAATAGGTCAGGAGATTCTTTCTTTTTTTTGCAGATAGATTGACAAGTTTTCAGTGTGTGTGGGAAATTTAAGAATTGGGTGTTTTTTGTTTCCTCAGATCATTGCTGTGTAGGCCTTTGCCTGTTGATATAGGAAGGTGTACCTGTGTTATAGTGAAGGAAACATCTCCAGATGGGTTCAATGGAGGCACTCTCTACTCACTCTACACCTATGTAAGCCCATTTTTGAGCACTCCTCTAGTGTGTACTAGTTTCTTGCTTTGATAAACATTCTTAGTCACAGCATTTTCAAGAAAAATTGAAGTCTCAGTAGTTTGTGTCTTAAAATGTAAATCTTTATTTGATTTAGACTGCCTGCTACCTTAAATCTGTGAAAATTTCTTAGCAAATATGATGTATATGACATTTTACATATTTATAAAGAACTTCAATGCCAAATTTTGAATGTTTGTTCACATGTTTCTTAGCAAAGTTCTTTTTGTTCTTCAAAAATGATAGGAGGGTCAAGGAAGGCAGAATCGGAAGCTTGCGGTGGCTCATCACAGAAGGCGTAATGGGAAATCTGAATTCATAGTGGCTCAGAATACAAAGGGACTATTGATGAGTTCAGAAGACAGTTTAATTGGGAAAGTGACTGCTAATCTTATGGGATCAAAATACCACATATGGGATCAGGTACATTTTCTTTGATGATTTGCTAATTTTTGATGAATTGTTAAAGTTGTCTGCTTGATTCAAACAACACTTTGTAACTATCTGAAAACTCCATTCAGGGGAAACTTAATTCTGGGGCAAAACAATCAAAACTTTTGGGTGTTTTAAGGTAAGCTTCTTTCTGGTCCTTTTGATCAAAAACATAATAGAAGAAAGGGAATTGAGAGTTTGGTCTCATGTTCACAGATTCATGGCTACTGTGGCCACCTGGAGTGGCAGTTATAGAAGGATCAAAGCGTGGATACCGAAGCACCAATCCATGCTGTTGAAGAGCACGGCACAGGTGATCGATCACGTTCAACCAATGCGAGGAAGCTAAGAATGATTTCGAGATGCACACTTTTACTAATTCCCAGCTTGGGATTTCGTCTTTTTTACCTCAGATCCAACATATTAACGGAATGCCAATCGATTGGAAGGAGCATATGGATAAAGTACATCAGCTGTTCTCAAGGGTTCCCCACTTTAACAAGGTAAGGCTAGACTTCTGTCTGGTCTAAGCTGATAGTTGGACTGCACATTTATGTTTATATATTATATGCTCAACAGTATGATATTCGGTTTGATCTTAACTCATCAACTGTCACTCATGTTGCAAATGTTGTAGATTTCAAAACAGTATGAATTAGACTTCAGAGACAAAGGAAGGCCAGGTCTCAAGATCCAGAGCTCAGTTAAGAATTTTCAACTCACAATGGAGGTAAATGATGAGTTCGTTATCTCTCGACAAAACAAGAACATGAACTTAGAACATGAATTTATGCTATCTTTTTTTTTTTTTGTTTGGCTCCAGAAGAATGGAAGGCAGACAATACTACAACTTGGAAGGGTAGGGAAAGCGAAGTATGTGATGGACTATAGGTAAATAAACATCCGTTATTGCTCGACTAATAGCCAAAACATGTGGGCGCATTTACTAACTGGAGAAATGGAAAACTGGAGAAATGAAAATATGGTATTGTTTTGCAGATATCCAATGACTGGCTACCAAGCCTTCTGCATATGCTTGGCTTCCATTGATGCAAAGCTTTGCTGCACAGTGTAATGGGGGAAGGGACTCTACTTCTTTGGTGGTTCAACCTCTGAACACAAAGAAAATGGCCATGGGGTTTGAGTTTTGATTATTAGTCTTAGCATTGAACCTGTCATTTCCAAGCTTTTGTCAAAGCCTTTTTTCATCAATGCTTTAATGCAGATCAAGATCAACAACCCTACTGCTTGGGATTTATAATTTAACTTAGTGGTTTGGATTTAGAATTTAACTATGTGGTTTGTTAAACTTGATTCCAATATTATTTCTTTGCCTATATGTACTAAAAAAAAAAGTCTGCCGCTGTAAACAGTTCTGTTTCAATTTGTTAGTAGTAATTAGGAGATTTTCTTTTGTAACGATTCCAATATTATTTCTTTGCCCTTCTTTTATGCTTGAATGCTGAGATGAGAACAAGAATTTTTTCAGAGTTTTATTGATCATCAGTGTTTACAAAGTAAAAGAAGATATGATATTTATAGAGAGACAAGAGATAGTCCTAGTAGGGTTATAATAATATACAAAGATTGATAAAGTTATAGAGTCCTAATACACACCCTTAAGCTTAAAAAGCTTATCTCTTAAAAGATTGATCAGTACGTGGTTAACATGAACTTTTAACTCTTAACATACTACACATAAACTATTACTATGAAAATGGTATTTTTGGAAAAAATACCAAGCACAAACAATGGAAAAAGAGTTTAGGTTGTTAGGGCATCCTTAATAGTTGTCTATTTTACCCCAGATTTTTTTGGGCCCCAATATCCATATCATCATCCACCATCTCACCCAATCACAAAAACTATTCTTCCCATTAATTTTAAATTTTTTCACAACTTTTTGTGGATCCACCATTTTATTTCCATATTTTAATTATTTCTTATTTTCTTTATTTATTTGATTTATAATTCTAAAATAAACATAAATAATTAACATACATAACATATATATATATATATATAGAACTAAATTTTCTGCCATGAACTATTTGTGTCAATGGATTAGTTCGATCCAAAACTTGAGATAATGGGTGTAACCCGAAAAAGGATTCATAAGTAGTTGTTAAGGGAGTTGAAGTTACCAAATTCTGAGGAGTGGGTATCAATTTATGCCGAATTGCTCCACATATAGTCCCTCGAACCGCATTTTCTAAACGAACTAGAGCCAATCCGAATTAATCTTGTAAAAGATCCGCTACAGAACGAATACGTTTATTTTGCAAATGATTCATATCGTCAAGTGTACCCATTCCAAATTTCAGTCCAATCAAATGATCGGCGGCTGCCAATAAATCTCGCGGTAACAAAAATGTATTGTTCTGGGGTATATCAAGGTTCAGTCTTCGGTTCATATTTCGTCGACCAATCCTTCCCAATTCACATCTTTGTTGAAAAAATTTCTTTTGTAATTCCTTCCATAAGGATTCAGAAAATATTGGATCCCCGTTTACGCAAGCAAATTGTTGATAAAATTCCAAAATGACGTTTTCTTTTGACCCAATTTTTTTTTTCTCCTTATCACTCAGAAAAGATAAAAAAATTTCAGGATAACAGACATTCTCTAGAATTTCTCTTAGATTCGACCCCATAGCTGATGATAGAACTAGAATAGATATTTTTTGTTTCCTACTCACACGAGCCCATATCCTTGCTTTCCTATCAATTTCTAATTCTGATCTTCCCCCCAATCTGATATTATTGTGCCGGTATAGACCGAAATTCCATTATGGTCCAATTCTGACCGGTAATAAATGCCGGGGCTTTGCAATATTTGATTGATCACAATTCTATATATTCCATTTACTATAGAAGTTCCCTGGGAATTCATTAGAAGAATGCTTCCAATATATATATATATATATATATATATATATATATATATATATATATATATATATATATATATATATATATATATACTTAAAATTGCAAGCTTGCATTTGTTGGAAACTTAATTAAAATAATATTATAAAAATTATTATTACAATTTTTAGCAAAATTAAAATAAATTTATAATTATAAACTTTTTAATTTTTTTAAATTATAATTTTATCATATACAAATTTAATAATAGAATTTAACAAAACTAAAAAAAAAATGAACAAATAAGCTGGCCTGACCGTTGGCCCGCTTTAAAAACAAAACAAAAAAGTAATGAGAACAAAGAAACTGGCCTGACATGAACTTGCAAATAGCAGGTGGAAAATTTTGTCAAAATCTTGACTTCTCATTTGTCAAAATCCAACCCAAGGAGATTTTACTATTCTAAAATGTGGTGATGAACCTTTTATTGGGGATGTCCTTAGTACGAGTTGAACAAAACACTCACTCTTTAAAAAGGCTCTTGTATATATAGTGGTGCAAACGCACTTTCCAATCCAATGTGGACAAATGTTACTTTAAAGTCTTTCCACCTTTATTTTTTTTTTAAAAACTCAAATAAGTACATTTTGAGAATCAATTTCTCATTCACTCATTATTCGTTTTAAGCGTACAACATATCAATATCTTCATCTTAGTATGATGAACCTGAATCCACTTTGACCCAACCTAATTTGAAAGTGGACTCCACATATTTTTGTACCACAAAATAGCCATTTTATGCCATTTTCCAACCTTCTTTAAGAATGATCATGGCCAGTTTGTCACAACAAAAAGGATCTCACTATAGAGGAACCTTTACTTCAAGAGAAGCTGAAGCAATGGCTATAAGGAGGCTTTGAGTTGGTTAAAACTCCACAACTTTAATAATATTCATGTTGAAACCGACTCACTGCATGTTGTTCAGGGTCTCAACTCAACTAAGGGAGAATCTTCATTCCATCTCGTTCTTAGGGATATTAAAAAACCTACGAGTAACTTTACTCAAGTGTTTTTATCTCACTAAGAAATCTACGTATCAGACAGTCCATCTATTGACAAAATAATCTGTTTCTATGTCTAACTAGTATTTTCGCCCATGCGATGTACGAGATGGATTTGTTATAATATATTAAAAATATTTGGATTGATATATAATTATTTAAATTAGAACATCAAATATTATAGGAATAAGGTTCAAATTGGCCACTGAACGTAACCTGAAAATGCAATTAGGCCACTGAACGAACAAAAAGTGCAATTAGGCCACTGAACACTCCAAAAACGTGCAATTAGGCCACTGAACTCTCCAAACGTATGCAATTTCACCGGATAGCAGGTTACCATCAATTTTAACAGGTTACCTGCTTACGTGGCAGCTGAGTTGACATTTTTAATAATTTTTAATAATTAATTTTAATAATAAATTTTATAAAAAATTGAAAAAAAATTAAATAAAAAATAAAATAAAGTCGTTTTTATTTTTTTAAATAAAAATTTATTATTAAAATTTATTAAAAATGATTTAAAATTTATTAAAAATGCCAACTCAGCTGCCACGTAAGCAGATAACTTGCTAAAATTGAGGGTAACCTGCTATCAGGTGAAATTGCACATTTTTGGAGTGTTCAGTGGCCTAATTGCACTTTTTTTTCGTTCAGTGGCCTAATTGCATTTTCAGGTTACGTTCAGTGGCCAATTTGAACCTTATTCCAATATTATATAGTGCAATTGAAGATATGGTTTGAATTATTTATGTGTTTTGATGTTATCATTGTTTGAATTTGAGTAAATAGTTGCTCAAATTAATAGCTAATGTGTAGATGTACGCATGCGGTGCTGTAACTTTGGAGATTTTATTTATCACTGTTTAATATTTTTTATATATAAATTAGGCAAATGTGTTCGTTCTCTAGCAACTCAGTTATAGGAATAAATTGCTATCTTAATTCATTTGTATGAAATTTTTATTTTTTATTTTGTCTAGATATATAGCAATTTTGTCATTTAAAAAAACATAATATCAACGATTGTATTTACACATTATTGAAACATCTTTGTAGACGGTATTGGTAGTAGCAACACAATCCTATACATCATCGTATAGAGCTAACACCTTCAGTCCATCAGGAAAAAGGGTTTAGGTTGTTAGTACGAGTTGAACGAAACACTCTCCCCCTAAAAGGTTCTTGTATATATAGTGGTGCAAACGCACTTTCCAATCTAATGTGGACAAATGTTACTTTAAAGCATTTTCACCTTTATTTTTCAACGCAAATGAATTTATTTTGAGAATCAATTTCTCATTTACTCATTATCCGTTTTGAGCGTACAATATATCAATATCTTCGTCTTACTACGAAAAACCTGAATCCACTTTGACCCGACCTAATTCAAAAGTGACTCCACATATTTTTGTACCACAAAATAACCATTTTATGTTATTTTCCAACCTTCTTTACGAATGATCATGGCCAGTTTGTCACAACAAAAGGATCTCTCTATAGAGGAACCTTTACTTCAAGAGAAGCGAAAGCAATAGCTATAAGGAGGCTTTGAGTTGGTTAAAACTTCACAACTTTAATAATATTCATGTTGAAACCGACTTCCAGGGTCTCAACTCAACTAAGAGAGAATCTTTATTCCATCGGGTTTTAGGGATTTTAAAAAACCTATGAGTAGCTTTACTCAAGTATTTTTATCTTACTAAGCGATCTGCAAATCAAACAACCCATCTATTAACAAAACAGTCTGTTTCTATGTTTGATTACTTGGAGTGGTTTGCACACCCTCCCTCTATCATTTATAATATGTTACTCTCTGATTGAATGGAATTGTTTTGTTTTTTTTAAACCTCCCTTTCAAGTTTCAAAACAAAGATCTCATATTATTATTATATATATACATATATTTTAAAGATTTGTCCACTCTAGCATAAGTCAAAAAACGTATCTTGGGGTCTACGGTCTACATTGTACACAACTAAATTAAATGACCGCCTCTTGACCCCCGCGTTTTTTTCGTCTTCTTCCTCGTTTCTCCAGCATATGCATCTCAATTCATTGGCTTTCTACAAATTTCTATACACCCTGACCCGCCCAGATAACAAATTCAGAACATTACCATTTAATTTATGTCCTTTCCTCAATTAAATAATATATTTAATCCTCATTTTCTGATCTGGGTCTTTCTTTAATCCCATCCCAAACTAAAATCTTGAACGGTAATCACCTGAATAATGAAGGAACCAGAGGGTGAATCCCAGAAAGAGAGGATGAGCTCTAAAGATGGAATCTTGGGCTTCATTGGGAGGCCATTTGGTTGGTTGAAGATGCTGAGTGATGAGCTGCACTGGAGCTTTGTTTCAGCTGTGGTGATTGTGTACGGAATCAATCAAGGGTTGAGTATGAGTTTGAGTAAAATTAGTACCCAGTACTATATGAAGGATGATCAGAAGCTTCAGCCCTCTGAAGCTCAAGTTTATTTTGGGATTCTTCAACTTCCTTGGGTGGTTAAGCCTTTCTGGGGTCTGCTTACTGATACACTTCCCATTTTTGGTTATAGGAGAAGGCCTTATTTTATTATTGCTGGTATGTACTCTTCAATTTCATTTCTGAATCTTGTTTCTTCTTTTATGGGAAATCAAATTCATTTATTTGCTTAAATAAGTTAAAATGAACATGTTACTATATATGTAAGCTTCAATTCAATTCGTAGATTAGCTGATTTTTCCGCTTTCAAGAATGGTGAAAGAGTAGCTACATTTGTGAAATAAATGACATTGAACCAGGTTTTAGGAAGAATGAAGGACACCAGTTTAATGTGTGATCTGATTATTAAGTGCTCATGTTAATGCAAGAAAATAAAAGAACAGCAATAAAGATCTGACCGCCTTTATTGTTTAGGTTTTCTTGGTATCATATCCATGGTGATTCTGTCCTTAAAACAAGACTTACACCTTGCATTCGCTTTGTTATGCCTAATCACTAGCAGTGCCGGGATGGCAGTAGCAGACGTTACGATTGATGCCTGCGTGACAGAGAACAGTATAAGCCATCCGTTTCTCGCCACTGACATGCAGAGCCTCTGTGGAGTCAGCTCATCCATAGGACAACTCGTTGGATATACCGTTAGTGGCTTCTTAGTTCATCTAATTGGATCTAAGGTTCGATACCCACACGTCTTTTGCTTCCATGTTGATCATCCTAGTAACGTTTTTTCATAAGAATATGTCATTAGGAACTTATGTTGGTGAAATGATATTAAGATTTGTGTCGTTGTTTTCATTTACGAAGACGTTGTTAATTTGGCAGGGGGTGTTTGGAGTTTTGAGTATACCTGCTGCTCTGGTAGTTATAGTAGGATTGATGATCGGAGAAACGTTTGTCAACAGGGGTGCCGATAGGAGAGTTAGTATTTTCTTAGCCTTTATCGTTTCACTAGAGTTACACGAGAGTACGAGGCTTTTCCCTTTAACGTTATGCTTGTAAATCAGATCAGTGAAAAGTTACGGGATGCTGGTAAGGCTACGTGGATTGCTCTGAAATGCAAGAATGTTTGGAGGCCGTGTTTGTATATGTATGTTTCTATTGCACTGAGTTTACACATCCACGAGGGAATGTTTTACTGGTATACAGAAGCGAAGAATGGTCCGTCCTTCTCTGAGGTACAAATTTTTTTCTTAAAACACGAATTTTTGGCTCGAAATCTACCTGAATTGCGCTTTATGCAGGAAGCTGTAGGAGCTATATCGTCTATCGGTGCAGTGGGTTCACTTGTTGGGATTATTCTCTATCAAAACGCTTTCAAACACCACCCTTTTCATCGTGTGCTTTTCTGGGCTCAGTTACTGTATGGTGCTTCGGGGTTGCTGGATTTGATACTGGTATCTCGGGCGAATTTGAGGATTGGCATCCCGGACTACTTTGTTGCTGTGAGTGACGCAGCAATCTCGCATATGATTTCACGTCTCAAATGGATGCCTCTTCTTGTCCTCAGTACAAAGCTTTGCCCCTCGGGGATAGAAGGAACTTTCTTCGCTCTGCTCATGTCGATCGATCACATCGGATCGCTCACTGCGGCCTGGGCCGGGGGGCTTTGCCTGCACGTCTTGCACGTCACACGCACTCAGTTTGGAAACCTTTGGGTGGCGATAGTGGTGAGGAGTTTGTTGAGAGTCGTTCCGGTTGGGCTTCTGTTCCTCGTGCCCCGTAGCGACGATCCAAATGCTTCTATTCTCCCGGATGAACTGTTGAATACTAGGAAGGGTGGAGAGTCTGCAAACATGGAAATGGCGTCGCTTGTGAACAACCACGATGACCCGAATTCAGTGGAAGAGTAAATGCAGAAAAGGGAAGCATATATAGTTAAGAATTCCTTGAAATTACAATACAATTTCAAAGAATATCCCAAAGATTGATCAGTCAATTTCAAATCCCTGGTAAGATGAACTCACTGATTTAAGATGTTTTTAGTTATAATATTGTGTACCAAATAGCAGTGTAATGCAGGCCTAACCCAGAAACATGTAAACAATATGCACATACATGCCTTGAACCTAGCTAGATATTCCAATGTACCCTCTGAAACAACCTTATTTTAACAAAGATTGAGAATCTTTTTATGTTTTCTGAATCCACCACACATGTTCTTTATAGGCTCCTAGTCTTTTGTTGTTTGGGCAACAATTTGTTTATCACCATTGTTCTTTATATATTGCCCTAATTAGTAACATAGTTAGTTTATTGGTAAATTTTGGCTTATTTGACCACTATTAGCTGTTTGATTTGGTTAAATATTCATTATAAGTGTTTGGTTAATTAACTTTTTTGTAACAGTTTATTGCTTTAAAACGCTAAAATTCAAAAAGTTGTTCGAAGTAGCTTTTTCGATCAGTTTGTTGAGAAAGTCATTTTGCATATAATCAACTATCAACTAACAGTCAATTTACAAAACATCTTTCTACAATCAGCTAATGCTATCAACTAATCAAATTCATTAACCCAATCAGCCAACAGCTAATGCTGCTAACTCTATTACATTGTAGTATCTGTTCAAATATACTTCTCTGAGGCTCGATATATGGGAGAGGTCACTACATGTCATCTCATTCATCTGAGCACAAAGTGCTGGCTTATAATAATTAAGTTAAGAAGAAGATTAATAAAGGAATTATCTAAATAGTGCTATTTACAATAAAACATCAATTCTTCCCCACATAGTACAAGCTTAAAAGAAAAGAAAAGAAAAAGAAATGAGTAGCATTTCTATCTTTATTGATATACATTTCTATTTCTTATTTAGACATTACAGAGCATATTACAAATAGCAAATAAACTCTAAGAACAAACACAATAGTGTTGCTGCATCTGGACACTGAAATATAAATACAATTTTTATAGGACAAAAGAATGGCTCCATAATCCCACCATTCTTTCCTAACATTTTCTATATATTTCTAAGCAAAAATAAACCAACAAACAAATTATGAATCCTCTGTACCTTCACCCTCTACTGCATCATTCTCCTGTAACATGTCCATGAGCATGTTGATTTGGTTCTGCAACATCGTGTTTTGCCTCTCGACATCAGCCCGCTTGCTCCTCTCGTCCAGCAGCTGCAGCTGCAGATGTTCCAAGCACCGTGAATCCGCTTCTAATTGCTCGTTCAGCCCATCAATTTCTCGGTCCTGCACCAATCATCACCACATTCTTAACTATTGTCTCTCATCTACAGGATTAATTCTGTTGGACGGAGGCCGGTGAAGGCCAAATTAAAGCATGTGTTCCATCTCAACTAAAAGTCTAAGCTGATAGTTGGATTGCACATTTATGTTTATGTTATATTATATGCTCAACACGCCCCCTCACGTGTGCGGGCCGATTACTTTTGATGAGCTCAGTCAGAATAGAATTGTAGCCCCTGGGCTCAAATAGGAATCGAAACAGCAGAAAAGTAGTATATGCTTAAAGAAAGCGAGCAGATGATTGTGTTGAGACTCGAGAACATCACCTTTCTGTTCATTTCCTGTACGGCAATCCTACGCATGCTCTCAACAACATCCACGTTTACAAGCTTCCGCTTCTTCCCAATAAGCCACCCTTTAGGGTAACTCGAGGAGTCGAAATCAGGTGGGGGTAACAACGACTCGGCTGATGGTCTTTTGCCACTCGCATTTGTTATGGGTTCCAATGGTTCAAACAAGGCCTTTCTGCGCTCAGAAAGAACAGAAAGTGCATCCACATCCATTTCCTCCTTTTTCTCATCACCCGACAATTCTTCCTGCTGTTTCTCTGGCGTTTTCTCATCCGTTACACTGTCCAACTTCTTCCCACTGACTGCTCGGAGAAACAACTACTTAGTTCGAAGCTCCCAGCAAGTAAACATCATAATATCATACCATCACAACTCACAATAAATATTACTACTTCACTAAGAAGGGTGAAACCGTTAAACAGTTAGTTCAGATAAATGAATGTTTACTTCGTAATCGTGATAAATTATTGAATTGGCACCAAAAGGAAAGGAACAAATTAGGGTTCAATACAGACAAGCATAAATTATTGAATTCTTGAAAATGTCAACACAGATGATGGAACCAAGGATTTATTCTTATCTCTAAATCCACAAGAATCACCCAAGTGGCTGCTGGGTAGCATATATTAAATCCCAAAAAAATTTCCAAACAAGAAATTGATAAGGATTTGTGAAATGATTAGACATTGGCATGTGTCCTTATTAGCCAGCTCACCAAGAAAACGACAGCCATGAATGAAGGAACATGCTTTCACTTCTCATTTTTTCCTTTTCAAGAATTGCTTGTTTTGTAACACAGGGGGGACAGGGCCAACCAACCAATTTCAAACTTGTAAGAATCTAACCACCCACCCATCTTATGGCTGCTAATGGAACTCACTTTTCAGCCAAGTATTTCAACACTGGGTAATTACTAATTAATTCCGATGACTGACTAAGGTAAGATTCCGGCAAGAATAAGGCCACTCCGGTGGCCGGAACAGGAACAAAACATCATGCAGAGTTAAAGTTACAGAAAATTGTTCAGAAGACAACATAACCCATCATACAAAGGGAAAAACCCAAGAAAAAGATTGTACCCTAAGGAGATCTAATCTATTGAAGATGAAATGCAGAGGAAAAGATCTGTGGGGTTTTAGTAATTTACAGTACCTACCTGATCTTTTCCGGGATTTCCAGAAAACTGGAGTAGAAGGCACGTGGGAGAAGCCATTCAAAGTCTCCATGTCCATGGCCATGGGGGTCTTCTCTGTAGACTCCTTCATTGAAAAAACTGCAAATTTCTGTCAAGAAAACACCAAAAAAAGATCAGAGCTTTTTCTAAGTTTTTAGTATTACAGTACGTTGAGAGGGTCGGGGTTGTTAGGGGTGTTGGGAAATGAGATAGGTTGGAAGGGACAGGGGAAAAATCAACGGGGCGTGATGGAATCTACAAGGTTTTGGACGGACAGGATTCGGTGTCGTGTTTTGGTAGGTTGGATCTCAACAGCGGTAGTTGTTTACTTGATGATTTGAGCTGCTGTGTTGTGGGGCCCGCTGGGTGAAATTACCGGAATGCACCTCGTGTTGTTTCGACCACCTAGAAAACACCGGTGGAATTAATGAAAGCATATGCGGATAATTTCGTCCCATTTTCGGCGTGGAAAATGAAAATGGTTGGCTTTGGATTCGGTCTTGTTTCCATTTTTAAATTTGATTTTTTGGATAAATTTAATCCAAGTCAATAGGAAAGTTTCATAGAAAGGTGGAGTTTAATTTATAGTAATAATAATTTTTGGGACCCCAAGAAATATGCAATTAATCTTTTAGTTATAAAAATCATTTCATAACTATTGGGTGTTGGGCTCCCGAGGACTAGCACAAGACTCAAAGTAAGAGGATTTGAACTCCATCTCAAACATCATTGCAAGTAAGATTTTCACGTTGAAGATTCGAACCCTACTTCAAACATTATTGGAGTAAAATGTGAATTGGATTCTTTGTGCACTCACAATTTACATCATAAAAAAATCATTTCATTTCAATTAGTAGATTGCTCGATCTTGAATTGCGTGCCACTAAATTTGAGAGGTAATTAAATCAAAAAATATTTAGCATGGTTTCTTTTTCTCTTTTTTTTTTTCCTCTATTTTTTTTGAAAAATTATTTTTTCATTTTCTCAATTTAACAAAGAATTTGCAAGTTTTTTTTTTCCAATTTTTTTTCAAATAATAATCACACATAACTTAATTTATAATCACTATAATTATTACGGAGTACATATAAACTTTACTTATCTATTTACTCATATTATCTACCCAACCACCTATCAATATACATTTACCACTATCTACCTACTCTTTCACCACTTATATCTACTTATCTTAGCATTACTACTATTATTCATACGATATATATATATATATATATATATATATATATATATATATATATGTGTGTGTGTGTGTGTGTGTGTGTGTGTGTGTGTGTGTGTGTGTGTGTGTGTGTGTGTGTGTGTGTGTGTGTGTGTGTGTGTGTGTGTGTGTGTGTGTGTGTGTGTGTGTGTGTGTGTGTGTGTGTGTGTGTGTGTGTGTGTTATTTTCAAATTTGAATCATAATACATTTAAAACTATCGAGCATGAATGAATATTAACATTACCCATTCCAAAATCCTTTAACACTACCTATATGGTACTCAAAATCATCCCAAAACATATTTAATGCACACACGATTGATATCAGGCTACTACCCGAACTTGTTTCACAATTGATACTATTCCGTTTGTAGGGATAGTTTCTCTAATCATCCAATTACTATTCAAATTAGCACTCTATTTTTTTTTTTTTTGTATACCTAAGGTTTCTACCTGTGTCCGACGACGGTTCTCATCTTAACACAACTATATATATCTTAAATTAGCACTCTATTTTTTTTGGATTCATATTGATGGGGTGTGGACCCTGGCCCAAGAAGAATAAGTACAAAAGGAGAAGCCCAAGAGGAAGGGAGAAGTCCAAGAAGGATGAAAAAGCCCAGGAAGAATAAAATACGGCCCAAGGGGTGGGAACCCAAATAAGTAACAAGGCCCGTAAGAGATTAGGGCCGAGTCCAAGAGTCGGTCTGAGCCCAAGGATGGGACGAGGACTCGGCCGGATCAGCAAAGAGCTGTTGTGCGGCATTTATGACGACATTGAAGAACTCGGTCAAGGAGCCGTTGGGAGGCCCAGTAACGACAGCCCCAACGGCTCTGCGACGTAATTAGCTTTTAAGACCCTCTTAATGTATTTAAGTCCGAATTAAAGGAGGGCCTCCTATATAAAGGTCCCTTCGAGAATGTAAAAGGGGCGAGTCCATGCCCAGAGAATAGAGACACATTCTTTCTACTTTTGTTCATTCCTTTCCACTTCTTTAAGCTTTGTTGAAAGGTGAATCCACCAATCAAGGTCAGTGGCGGAGCCAGAAAATAGTGTGAGTGGGGGCGTATTTAACTCCAGATTTCACTTCTAAGAAAAAATTGCATCTTTCACAATTCTGTTTGAATTAATTTGAATACAATGAAGTATAATATAAACTTGTTGACTACATTAAGTAAATGATTCAAAAAAAGTAGACTTAAAAAAT